CACACACACACAACACAACAACAATAATATGCATGACAGAAGATGGGTAAGATATATGATACGCATAATATATAACACACACTACACAATATAATATATAATAAATATAATTATATAATATATATTAGATAATAATACATAATATAAATTATATATATAGTATATTAGTCTAGTAGAAGATATATATCTAGTATAATATATAATATAATAAGTATATGTAATATAAAGTATTATATTAGTATAATATAACATAAACATATATATCTAATTTATTTATAAATACATTGTATATACACAAATGTCTATATTATCTCATGGTACACACAATAATATTATGCATATATAATAAGAAAATATTACACACATATAAGCACATAATATAAATAATACATATGCAACATAATGCCATAACATAAATAATGTATGGATGATATATTATATTACATATATAATATAATATATAATTAATATAATATAAGTAATGATGTGTGTGTGATGTAGTGTGTGGTTGTAGTGTGTGTGTGTGTACGTGCGTGTGTGTGTGGTCGTGTGTGCATATAAGTATATAATCACATTTCAAAAATATGTATATATAGATTTATGTTATAAACATACAACACTTTTCTTCCTCATCTCTCTCGGTTCGTCCTGCAATCTTCGTCTCCGCTCTCATCTCTCTAGTCTCTCTCTCTCTCTTCTCCTCTCGTCTCTCCACATATATATAATATATAATAGTATATAATAGTATATAATATTATATATATTACATATTACACACAATAACACACGCACACACGCAACAAGCACCGCATATATATACATATATATATATATATATATATATATATACTTATATATATATAATATATTATATATATATATATATAGTATATATACAATATACAAGTATGCCACATTTATATCGCCATAGACACAATTGAGCTCTGGTTTAATATTTTTTAAACGTTACTGATATTTCTCTAAAATGTTAATTGTTATTGTAACAGTTCTTATCGTCATTCCATGTGGCCATCCTTCTTACGTCGATGGTTAAAAGGAAACGTTACTTGAGACAATGCACATAGGTTACTGTAAGCTTGACGCAATTAAAAAGAAAATGCTGACGAATGTGACACAAGAAGTGAGTGGGAGATAAGGCCCTTTGCTACGAAGGAAAGGTCAAGGTTGCACAATATGGGTGGGACTACAAGAGTATCGCCAAGGTCAAGAGGGGAACTAGTGCACGTATATAAAGCTCAGTCAACTGGTTCGCTACATCAGTTCGATCTACATCCGACCAACATGAAGTTTGTGAGTGTTGCGAGCATACTGGAAATAGTTGTGCTAATGACATATTATAACACAAAGTTATTTGATTTTTTCTTGTGTTTTGAACTTTAATCTTAGAAGTGAAAATAATACACTTACAATTGTTAATATGTATACATATATATATAGTATTTAATAGATGAGTATTTAATTATGGACGTTTGTTTGATATATATGTCAATGTGATTACTGATACTTAAACCTATGAATATATACATAAATATCTATGTATATATACCTATATATGTATGTGCATATATGCATATATACTATATATGTATATATATGTAAACACACATGCGCGCACCGTACGGTACATGTGTACCTATACAAAAACACTCACGCACACTGCTTTAGTATATTTCCCATCTTTCACTCTACTGAATTTATATTACCTTTCTTACAATTTAGTTGTAACCTTTATTTCTTCTGAACGCGAAGCATATTGGCCTGTAAACTAATGAGATAATATTTTTTTAGGTAATCCTTGCCTGCTTTGCCGCCGTGGCCTTCGCCGCCCCCCAGTACAGCTCCAGCGAGGAGGCTGAGTTTATCCCAATCCTCAAGGACGACCGCGTCCACGAGGAAGACGGAACTTACAGCTTCGACTTCGAAACTGGCAACGGCATCAGCTTCTCCCAGGCTGGATCCCCCGACGGCGATGAGGACGCTGTGATCAAGGCCGGAGAATACTCGTGAGTATTAATAATTTAGTTATACGTAGTTCTTGTGAGTTTGCAATGGATTTTCTTGTACGTAATATCGAGTGAAAGTACATCTTCATTGCGTTTCTGTAATATTACAGCTACACCGCTCCTGACGGCACTGAAATCCATCTCCGCTTCGTGGCTGACGACAACGGCTTCCAGCCCGAGGGCGACCACCTTCCCGTGGCTCCCGAGTTCCCCCACCCGATCCCTCAGTTCGTCCTCGACCAGATCGCCTTCGCCGCCGAGGAGGACGCCGCCCGCGCCGATTCCGATGAAGAATAAATTTCGACTTTACTGACGAAGCTTCTAATTGCTGAAGCTACCTAAAGAAATGTATATATTTATTGTATATTATAACAAATATATTGTGTAAATATTAAACCCCTTTCATAAAGCAGTTTTGTTTTTATACCACTTACTAAAAAAATGAATTGTTTTGAAGTTCAGTTGTAAAGATGATAGTCATAATTATGTTTATTTTTTTTCAATCATCATTAACATATCAACAATATCGTTGTTATTGCAATTTCTGTTATTCGTACCACATTATTTTACATCTAAAATAATTTATATTCATGGTATTCAATGTCATGCTATATTTTTCTCTATCAGGGTTGTAATAATTGTTATAAGTCATTTATACTATAACTGCTAACACAGTACTGGAACTCCCAATGACAACGAGAGACAGCTGTACCAAAGGAAACAAAGCAAACCAATAACAACAGGTAGTTTTTGATGCTACGTGATCTCCGTAAAAGGCCTTTCTCCGGGAAAATAAATGTCACAGGAACCACCAATCCTCAATTCTAAATATAACCTTTTGGGTTTTCTCTAAGGGTGAATTACTTGTAATTATGAATGATATGTTACGTAATGATTGTTATTTTCATTCTTCATGTCACTATCACTAGTTATTAATTCTAAGTATCATTATCATTACTACTAATACTAACTATTATTATCATTATGACTGTCACTACTACCACTACTATCATTCAGATTAATATTTTCATCATTACGATTTTTATTCGTTATTGCTATTGTATTCAGTCTTATTGCTATTTTTGAAAGGTTATAATAGTATCCTAATTATAATGATAAAACAGTGATCATTAGAATTAAATTTATAATTGCATTATCATTATCGTCATTATCGTTATCATCAACATTAAAATTATTATTATTATAATGACAATATCACAGCTATTATTATTATTATTATTATATAGTATAGTATATTATCCTTATTATTATCATTATTATTATTATTATTATTATTATTATTATTATTATTATTATTATTATTATTATTATTATTATTACTTTTACTAATATTATTATTAGTATCATCATCATTATTACCATAATTGCTATTATCATCATTATTATTACTATTACTACTATTTTATTACTGCTATTTTTCTCTTAATAAAATAAAAGTAACAATAACAGTAATGATGATGATAATAATACAGTAGTAGTAGTAGTAGTAATAAATATAATGATAATGATAAATATAAAGATAATGAAAATGATAATGATAATGATGATAATGATAATAATATTAATAACCATCATTATCATTATTATCACTATCATCAGTAGTAGAATCATTTTTTAAAATACATTATCTTTGCTGCTAACAATATTGAATTATTGCTATTGGTGATCGCCGCAATTATTTTTGTATGGTCTTTATTCATCATTATCATCAACACAATTATTATAAGTATTATCCTTATTATTGATATAATTATTTTATCATTTCATTATTATTTATTACAATTATTATTATTATTATTATTATCGTTGTTTTGCTGTTGTTGTTATTGTTATTATTATTATCATCGGCCTTATTAGCATCATCATCCTCATTATCATCATTGTTATTATTACAAGTACTCTATTACTGTTGTTTTTATTTAGTTGATATTATCATTATTGTCATTATCATTGTTATTATTATTATTAC